TTTCAGAGATGGGACACTGATAAAAATACAGCATATATTTATGCAAGGTTTACACAGATGCTTGTAATTCAAAGTGGATTATGACTGAAAAGAGAATGAGAGAGAAATTAGGTAGCTTTCCTAAGACTTATGCATTCCTATCATGATGTTGAGACAATTACAGAGAACATGAACTTTGGTTGAGTCACCCAATTTGGAAATAGAGAGCACCATCAGATGTTCTAAACTTTTTCCTGGCCTTACATATATCATGTTATGATTAAACTTGAAATAACAGAGTTTTTGAAGGAATTATTTTGACTTCCAAGTACCCAATGCTTGTGTGATAATTTAAATATGGCTTGCTGAAGTCTCCTATCAAGTAAGATCTACTTTCTCCTGTATTCAGAAATCTTGGAGTTGGAATTGAGTAAATAGGGAAGACTTTAAGAGAGAGAGGAAGGAAGGGAGGGAGGAGGAGAGAATGGGAGGGAGGAAGAAGAAAGAAAGAAAGAGGTTCGAAGAAGGGGAGGACACAAGGAAGTGTGAAAGAGGAAGGAGGAAAGTGGGAGGGAGGGAGAGAATGTACGTTCAAAGTGCTGGACCCTACAACGCTAACAGAGAGGCAGAAAACAATCCAGCAGACATGTAATTCAACATCTTCTATATGCTCCACATCTTAAGCCTAATTATCTATGGGAGATAGAAAACTTTCATAGGAATATATTAGGAAGCAACTCTGGCCTGGCTAGAATATAGTAAGCAAGTCTCTATCCTTAAACTTCAATTTTGTATAGAGTGCTAAGCAAACTGGGAAAAAATGAAATGTCTTCATTTGAATATCTGTAGAGAAAGGGTTCTGAGTCTAAAATTATTTCTGCCGTTTTTAGAGGGAAAGCATGGCATGGCTCAACAGTATGCAATTTGTAATTATTTAACTGTATATTCTAACACCTGTTTACAATTTTATCTTAAGCAAACTTTTTTTTTTTTTACATTCTTTAGGTTCCATTTTTAGGCCATGAGGCCAATCAGTAGCATTGAATAATGTCCATCTGACATGCTTCAAAATATATTAAAAGCATTAGAGAATGGAAAGTTTCCTTCAAAACATAAAAAACGGGCTGTGAATTCCTTTTAAAAACATTATCCATAAACAGAAAACCTATTAGTCTAGTTAGCTAGCAAACTAACCAGAATTTATGAAATATTCTTATTGTAGCTTATATGCCATTAGATTTAAAAAGAAATCTTTCTGTGAAAGCATAATGTACATAGAAATGTTTAAAATCACAAGTATATAGTTCAATAACTTATCCCCAGGTGTACACATCAGTGTAAACCAACGTTCAGGTCAAGAATGAGCATTATTATTATATCAAGTGCTCCCTGGTGTTCTTCATAACTGTCCCTTCTTTCCCTTCAAAATAACTCCTTTTGACTCTTAAGACCACAAATTAGTTTTGCCTTTTGAACTTTATATAAATAAAAACATACTACATGTATTTTCTGTCCACTTTTTTTCCTCATTATTATTTTTGTGAGATTCTTGCATGTTGTTGCTTATAACTAATGTTTTCACTTTTAATTTATCTATTTCCATATATTTTTTTTATAATGGACATTTAGATTATTTTCAGCTTTTGGCTGTTTCTAAAAAGATTTCTGTACATATTATGGACATGTTTTGTGCACATGTGCATGCCTTTCTCTTGCATATACAGTATATTAAGAGTAAAAATGCTAGGTCATAAAGTATGGGTATGTTCAAATTTGGGACTTCCCCGGTGGCTCAGCAATAAAGAATCCACCTGCAATGCAGGAGATGGGATTTCAATCCCTGGGTTAGGAAAGATCCCCTGGAGGAGGGCATGGCAACCCACTCCATTATTCTTGCCTAGAAAATCCCATGGACAGAGGAGCCTGGAGGATTACAGTCCATAGGATCACAAAGAGTCGGATGCAGCTGAACACAGCACATACACAATCTGTTCAGATTTAATTGTTGTTTAGTTACTAAGTTGTGTCTGACTCTTTGCGACCCCATGGACTATAACCCGCCAGCCTCCTCTGTCCATGGGATTTTCCAGGCAAGAATACTGGAGTGGGTGGCCATTTCCTTCTCCAGGGGATCTGCCCAACCCAGGGATCAAACCTGTGTCTCTTACTTGGCAGCTAGATTCTTGACCATGAAGCCACAAGGGAACCCCTCAAATTTAATATAATTGATACTGTCAATTATTTCCCAAATCAACTGAGCCAATTTATATTCCCACTACTAGTGTTATGAGAGTTTTTGCTATTAGTCATCAATTTGGTGGAAGTGCAACGGTATTTCTTTGATGTATTAATTTGTATTTCTTTGAATACTAATGATTTGTGTTTATTCTCACATCTTTATGTTCTCAGTGTAAACCAAATTTAAAATATTATCCGCAATTACTTTTAATTAGTAAATTGTAGGTAAGTTTTTAACTTTGACCTTTAGCACCCTAAAGTGCTAAATACATGCAAGGTAAGTGCAAGCAAACTGTTACTTGCTACAGTATGGTATAGGCCAATCATCAACCCTCAGGATGTTAGCTCAACTTTTCCTAGTTTCTTAGGTCTTCTCAATGAAGTGATTTTAAAAACAAAGTGGTTCAAAATTTTAGGTTAAAATTACATTATAATTAGGGCTCCCAAAGTTAGTCAAGAAATAAGCTATTTCAATCAAATCAAATCTATTTACAACTTAGACAATATAGTCCCTTTGCTACTCACTAAGATTATTTTCAGATCTTACACTCCCTAGTTCCCAAATTGTGTTTACTCATCTGATCTCATGGGTTTCACCTGGGCCTCAAATCTAATCTAGAATTTGGAATTCAGGAGTGGTAGTAGATGAAAGGAAAAAACAGGAATCTGTATTTGCAAGTTAGTCACCTACATGATTCTGATGAATTATCCATTGTGGAAAAAAACCTCATAATATGAAGATCTTGGAAAGATACATAAGCTGTTTTCTATATCCCATCAGAAAAATGAATCAGGACCAATGGATGACATTTAAAGCAAATAGAGACAATATTAAAAGAGCTCTCTGTCAATAAGTTGTATCTAGCAAACTAAGGAATATTGCTCTTTAGAGATTTTTGCATAGTAAATGGTGTTAGATGATTATATAGGCCACTGTTAATATATTCTTCACAAATATTAATAAAAACAGAATTTGTGTTGTGTACATTACCTGCCAAGCCTAGAAAAACTACAAATAGACATCATAATGGACAGACACTAACATTGACTTAATTTTTAGATCTTTAAGTCTCTCACCCTTTGAAAGTGCTTCTTTTCTTAAACATAGCCAAGACCCTTAGTAATAAACTTAAGCTTTGAATCTCAATAAGGGTACTTGGCATAATGCAACAGCAAGCATAAGAATGCTTGAAATAAATTTCCATAAATATGAAGCAAGCCTGTCAATAAATTTAATTTCCATCTGATTTAATAAAAGGCTAGACAAATATACAAGCATGAAAGTTATAAATTATATTTAACTTTTTTACCCACAACAATCATCTTATAGCAGATTAAGGTTTATAAATTGTGATTTTTACCTCATCTAATCACGCTTGATATTGCTTCACAATTAGATAGCTATAAGGAAATTGCAGCTTCAAACACTAGGTCTGTGATTAATTCAGTAAGTTCTTCTGCTTAAGATTACTTGTATTAATACTATAAATTTCAATATTGTGAATGTGGCAAATTAAAAAATATTGATGTGTCAGTATACATATAGACTTGCTTGTTTTTCAGAAGACTGAAGCAAAATGTCTAATTGCAAAGTCAATGTGGTTCTTATTAAATGGTCTTTCTTTATTACTGATGTTCGAGAAATATGGAAATATTTGAAGAAGTCTTCCTTAGTAGTTGAGAAAATTGTCTGAAGTGCTCAGTGGGAAACATCTTACAAAGCAAAGGGTTCAGACTGCATGGAGGTTTTTCCTCTGACTGATGAGACGTCAGGTTCTCACCTGGGAGGAGGAAATTGCCTAGACTTCTTTTTTCTATCCATGATGGATCTGTTAGTCTTCCAGTCCACAATTCTACTGGGGCTCCATGAGAGGCACAACTTCTATCTGCCTACCTGCCCAGGTGTTTGGAGATACTGGCTGTTCTGGCTCATGTGGTGGTGGTGGTGGTGGTTTCGTCTCTAAGTTGTGTCTGACTTTTGCTGACCCCCTGGACTGTAGCTCACCAGGCTCCTCTGTCCACGGGATTCTCCAGGCAAGAATACTGGAGTGAGTTGTCATCCTCCTCCAGGGGACCTTCCATACCCTGGTATTGCATCTGGGTCTCCTGGCTCAGGTAGAGAGAGGCTTCTTTCCACTCCATCAAGGGCTAGTGAAGGAGTAAGACTCCCATACTTTGTTCTTCAGATGAAAAGAGCTGTAAGAAGGAACAAAGATAGATGACATCTAAAGAAATCTTGAGGATTTATGTTCATTCCAGAATAACAGAAATATTGCTCCTTAGAAGGAAAGCTGAGAAAACTTGAGAACTTAAATTTTAAAATTCAGGACTAATAGAGTTTGTCAGTTAGTATTATATCAATATAACTAATATTAGATTATATTATATCTATTATATCAATATAATATATTATATCAATACAACTTATATTGACAAGGTATCAATATAATATCTTAGCAAGATGAAATGATGGCAAACTCAGGCAAAAAGAGGAATCAATGGTATTCTTAAAGAAATCTGGTTACATGTAATTACAAGTTGTTCTTGTAAATTAATCTACTTATACATGACCATTTTAAAATATTAAGTAAAATGGTAACATTTATTGTGACTCAAGAAAAATATCTTGTAGGATTTCCCTGGTGGTCCAGACTCTGTGCTTCCCACGCAAGGAATGTGGGTTCAGCCCCTGATTGTAGAAATTCCACAATGTGGGGGAAAAAAAAAAGAAGGAAAAATACTTTGTAACACAATTTTATTGCTATATTGTTCATTCTTTCTAGATGTGTGTCATCACTACTGTGTGAATTCTGAATCCTGTACCATTGGAGATGATGGAAGTGTGGAATGTGTCTGTCCAATACGCTATGAAGGATCAAAATGTGAAATTGACAAATGCATAAGGTGTCATGGGGGACATTGCATTATAAATAAAGACAGTGAAGATATATCTTGCAAGTAAGTAGACAGCTAACTTAATTTATAAGAGCATTTGAACCCAAAAGGACATAACATTCTAGCAAAAAAACAATGAGAACATTGTAAATTATTATTTTTTAATTAATTTTTTAATTGAAGGATAATTGCTTTACAGAATTTTGCTATTCTCTGTCAAACATAAACATGAATCAGAAATTCAACATGGCAAGTGTTCCATTATCTCTCTCTGTTATTTTTTTTGCCTACAAAGAGAGTTCAATTCATTTTGATTAAACCAAAGCTTATTCAAAAATTGTTAACATACTTCTGGGAAACATGAACACTTATCATGTAATAATATGGTCAGATCATTCCCTGTATAGAATATTCCTAATAGTAAGCAAGCACAAGTGAAATGCAGCATACCTTCAAAAAGCTTATGTAATACTTCTAAATTAGAATAGCTCAGACTTTTGTTTCATCATTATTATCAGCAATGAGTATTTGCCTTTCTGATTTTACAAAGTGATCCTCTGGGAAAGGAGCAAAAGACCTGTTGAATGGAAACAAAATTTCATCTTTTTATCTGACTTGGAAAATTATGGTCGAAAATAAGTAGAAAGAATGATGCTTCCTCGGAAGCCACTACAATTAAGACATCCAATTACATTTTTGTTACACTGCCTTTTGCTCTTTGGCTTTGAGATCAAGTGAATGGAAGACAGAATTTTGCAGCTAAAGAGTGGCATTCAGTTTCTGTCATGAAACAGATTTATGCCACAGAAGTTAGAGATCAATTCTCACTCTGAACTTCTTTTCACAACCTTTTAAAAGAAGGGCTTATAAATGACTGGGCTCTATCATTTGCCCTGTGTGTGTGTGTTAGTCACTCAGTTGTGTCCGACTCTTTTTGACCCCATGAACTGTAGCCCACCAGGCTCCTCTGTACATGGGATTCTCCAGGCAAGAATCCTGGAGTGGGTTGCCATTTCCTCCTGCAATCATTTGCCCTAGGACTATAATAAATGAGAATATGTGATAGAAAAGCACACCTTAAAATGTTCATGCCACTGCTTCCACCAAGACGGCCTCTGCCAGGGTGCCAGCCCTGAGTTATGTTACTCTGCCAAACAAGGTCCAATAAAACTTTATTACAGACAACATCAACATTTTTTTCTTTTTTATTTACTCTCATTTTAGAATTAATCTATGTATGATTTGTGTTATCATTATAAATGACATTTATTCAAGCCTCAAAATGGGGCAATTGAAAAGAAAATAATTTTCAAACAAAAGCAATGGAAAAATATGACTAATTATAATACATGCCTTTGATAAGTACATAAAAGTAAAATGCATTTTTATTTAAACTATCAAAATCATGTTTGCTCATTAAATTGATCAGTTCTTTGTGATGAAACTTGAGCATGGCAGAACTTGATTTCAGTTAGTGAGCATGCATCTTTTTTTATGTTCAGTGTACCATATCAGTAATGCCCTGTAGAATCTTCTTTACAACCCCATTTCATCCACCCAGGAAATTGTGGACTATCGTATAAGAGAGGCTGAGAGGCATAGTTTCCAACCCAGTTTATCTTGGAGAAGCGCATGCAGGGACACATACTGTTTCCATCACACAGGCCAGTTCCACGTGAGGAAGGAAGGGCTGGATTCTTAGGACCCTCACTGTTGCCTACTGTACAGGCAATATTGGTTTAACCAATCTAGAAACACTGGAACCCATAACCTGAGTAGACTTTTGAGGTCCCACATTACAGTTCCTGACTTAAATATCTTTTTGAAAAACTGTATGTAAGAATGGACAAATAACAGTTGCTAGCAGTGAGTAGATATTGGAAGTTTAAAAATAGGAGTATGTTATTTGATTTATCAGATAGGCTATAATAACATATGAACATGACAATGCAAACACGACTCATGTATCTTAAAACATTCGATGTTTGTTTTTATTTCTGTGATACTTTTCATGCTAGCATTATAGCAATGTTGGGATTTCTATTTCATGGGTAAAGAACTGACACTAAAAATCACAACTGAGTTAAATTAAACTCTTTGTTCAAATGAGAAAAATTCAAGATGTGTGTGTATTTGTGATTTCAAATACTGATGTATTCCTAATGCCAAGACTATGAGCTGTCAACTAAAGTAGAAAATGGATACTCTGTCAAATATAATGAATATAATCTTTAAAACAGAACTAATTGTGTATTTTTCTCTCTTCCTTAGTAAGTACTGATGAAGAAATGCTTGATCATAATTTTGAATAACCTAAATAATACCACTCTGATGTCAAATTGTTATGAGAATTCTTTCTGCTTAATGGACAACTAATTTTCTAATTACAAATTGTGCATGCATGGGTGCATGCATGTAACATTCTAAGAAATTAAATCATAATGAAAACTACATTAAAACATAAGCTGTACTATTTGATGTCCTACAATGACTTGGATGATATATATTTCACATTTGAAATGTCTACAAAATTCTGTCTTAAGTTTAGGATTCAAAGAAACCCTTTATAAGGAGAACAGGGAAACATCTTTTACAATTCTTGGAAGCAGAAGTTTAAATGCAATAAATAATTAGAATATTTTCTCTTTTAAAGGATGATGTTTGGTGTATAGTTGTCTTTTTATGGAAAATTCTTTAATGTACAATGAGCTAATTTTTCTCTTTGATGTTGTCCCTTTGATTGAACATGAAACTATAACTTTCTGTTCTTTGATTTTCAAGGAGGCTGGACAAGGAGAGCAAGGAAAATTCTCCCAGCTCCATTTAACAGATCAGACACCAATGCCATTAAATATGGACTTGCCTCACTTTGCTTCCATATTCAAATGCCTCTATAAATCATAAAGAATGTGATATTCTGTGTTAAATCTTTGAAACTTTAACTGTTGCCTTCTTCCCCACATGTGTTTCCACTTTCACATATCTCCGTTTCCCATCTAGAAGATAATTGACTTACTGCTTCTGTTCATCTTGGAAAGAAACGTGATGTTTAAATCCATGTTCTTCTTAAAAAAATCTTTATATCAAATTCCTGGGGAAGTAGAAGCATGATCAGTACATTTCCATCAACCCTACCACCCACACTAGGTCAAATAAATATTCAAATAATAAGTAAACTGTAAGATAGTCAATCAATTATTGCAGATATCTAACCTATCATTGGGCTTCCCTGGTAGCTCAGCTGGTAAAGAATTGGCCTGCAGTGCAAGAGACCCCCGTTCGATTCCTTGGTTGGGAGAGATCTCCTGGAGAAGGGATAGGCTACCCACTGCAGTGTTCTTGGGCTTCTCTTGTGGCATCTGCCTGTAGTGCAGGAGACTTGGGTTCGATCCCTGGGTTGGGAAGATCCCTGGAAGAGCGTATGGCAATGCTCTCCAGTATTCTTGCCTAGAGAATCCCCACGAACAGAGGAGACTGGCGGGCTACAGTCCACGGGGTTGCAAAGCATACAACATGACTGAGAAACTAAGCACTCAGCCCATCACTGGGCATTACCCTTTGAGAGATGTGTTGCAGGAGGCATCTGTCATGAAGAGAAGCAAAATGATCAGTCAGTGATACTTTAGCCTGGTTTCTTTACTGAGGTTATGTCCAGATTTATGGTGATACCGTTGATTATTTCATAGCAATTAGTGCTGACATCATCTCATAACCAGAGTATCGACATGATCTGTTGGCCAAGGCTGGTACCATACTTCTCATGGAAGAGGTTTCCTCAATAATTTGGAATGTCAATGCACTTGACTCTGTTCCCCCAACAATTTTCAATGTCCAATCTAATAGTATTTATTTGTTTAAAAATGCAACATGACAAGTGAGAAATTTCTGTACTTTTTCTATTCTTGTTATCCTTTTTATTTTCCATGTAGCAGTAGGCACAGTTTTTTATTCTTATCTCAAACAGGCAATGTACTGTAAATTAGAATCATTTCCAAAATGTTTCCAAGAAGGCCTACCTCATTACTTTGTTGCCATATTGCATATTGTTCCTGTAACGTTACTGTTTATTTTTGCAATGAATTGTTACCTTTTTTCCTTTAACATAAAAAGAGTTTGACATTAATTAAAGTACATATTCAGGGATAAACAGTGGGATAAAAGTGACTACAGGGTAGTTCTATACATTTAGGCACAATGTGGAGTCTAAAACTCATAATAGTTCTTTGAACCAGACTTTTCAGTTTAGAAGGGATAGCTGAAGCATTTGCTTCGAGAGTATTCGATAATGTGGTTTATAAATAACAAAAAAAGTCACCAAACTCAAGTAGCATGAAAAGGAAATAAGATACTGGTGCTAATATCTCTCTGAAGTGTAAATGACAGATCCTAGAGTATATTTTTCACACCTGTATCTAACTATATTATGTTTTATAGTAAACAAATGGGTTGAAAATTTGAAAATTACCGAAAGAAAAATTTTATGTCATCATTCTGTTAAAAAAAAAAAAAACTCTTTGCCTCCAGCAAGTCTTTCTGAAAACCTTTTAGCCAGCTGCTGCATTATTCTTCTATGATGAATATCCTCATCTATAGAGAATTTGTGTGAGCTTTCAATAGTAATCATGCCAATAACAATGAGATTTTTTTTTTCTCTGTTCCTGCAGCTGCACTAATGGAAAGATTGCCTCTAGCTGCCAGCTGTGTGATGGTTACTGTTACAATGGTGGCACGTGCCAGCTGGACCCAGAGACAAATGTACCTGTGTGTTTGTGAGTATTTTATAACGCTGTGGGCATTTTCTGATATGACTTTAGATGTGCATGGAATCCCTGCTCTATTGTTCTCCATTCTTGGGGTAACATATTTTAAATGAATGTTTCATGGACATCTCTGATCAAGTATTATTCCTCATTGGTACTACATAACTTTCCCCTTCATTAATTTGCTATTGATTTCATAAGGAAGAGATCATTCACTCCTTAGCATCATACCTATTTCAAGGATTCAGAGATCTTTGAACTTGGAAATGCCTGTAAAAATACTTCTAATTTAATTGACCTTATTTAGATATGTGAAACCCAGACATAATCATATTTATAAATGCTTTGGTACTTAGGGCCACTCTTTTCCAAGTATGTAAGGTGTCTTTTCAAAAGTATAGTATTAGTTGATATTTGTGTCAGGTTTAGAGTGTTGTATTATTTAAACCTATTAACTCTTGTCTGTTTTGAAATACGTTACATTGAATCTGGGTTTCTAAATCTTTGGAAGTATTATAGATTCTCTACTCCTGAGAAAATCTGGAACTTAATATTTTTTCTTTTCAAACCCTTGATTGTCCAGAGTGGAAAACTTAAAATAAGACTATTCAGCTTATGTGACTTCTATTTTGAATTTTATCACTGCTTAACCAGAAGGATGATGCCCACTTAGGATTCACATCTGCATTCTGTTCCTCTCATTGTCAGAGTAGACCGTGATGAGTGTGTATGAGAAAAAAGTGAACATACCTAAGAAAAACTGTGTTAATATGTTACTATAAATATCTCTGTATGAAATGAATTTGAAATATATTTGGGAAAAAAAAAGTCAGACACTTGATTTAGCTGTATTTTACTGAAATTCTGCAGATGCTCTGTGGGGTTTAAAAGTCAGCGCTGTGACCAGAAAGAGAACCCCTGTGATCACTACTGTCAGAATGAGGGGATTTGCACTTTAACTGCGTTTAATGAGCCGAGATGCAAGTAGGTTTAACCTTCCATTTACCGCTAAGCTTTGTGTGACATCATTTCAGGCTGCAGTCCGTTGGTTTAAATCATGAACATCCACATGCATTTCACAGTGTATACCTAATCTTGGGGTTCATCTGTGTCATACATACTTAACCTTTGCTTTGCTCATGGACACGTGTATGCACCACAGTCAGCTAGAGTGTCTAGAAAAATAATGGAGGGAATGAAAATACTTGTGGAACTGTATCATAAAGATGTATTTGCTAGAATAGTGGCTTTTAATTATACAAGGACAGAGCAGGTGTTTCTAGACTCTATTACTATACTAGATGCTATGTTTGGAAAAGTGGCTTTTATTTAGTAACTTTTTATTTCAAGTACTGATGACACACATTGTTTTGGTTCCCAAGATTTCAGTGTGAACTTGTCTTACTTTAATCAGTGAAACTTCTTTACAGAAGAAATGGGGATATGCTAAAGTACTGCAGAAACTTCATTTCTTAATAATTCACATCATTCTTTCTTGATTTAGTTTGTTTTTAACAAATACATTCATTTCCTCTGAGAAATTTCAGGGACCACATTTTGGGTGACTATGAACCTTCATAACAATGCAAGTTATTTTTGCATCTTGCATTGAGCTTTAGAGATGAACCATATCTGACATCCTCCTTAATATCCCATGTAAACAGAAGTCTTGATTGGCAACCCCCAATAACAGCATATTGCAGTGTCTCAGAGTACTTGGTGGTTTTAAGGCACAATGATATTAAAATTCAGATGTTTCATTTTCAAAACTCTATAATTATTTTCATAAACATCTATGTTCATTGAAGAGGTCCAGCACAAACACCTGATGCACATTTGCATATCTTCATTTCTATCTGCCTTGGACTTAATTGAAATTTTGTCTCTGTTTTGATTTTATACACCTTAAAATTTATTTTGATGGTACAAGTAATGCTTACTGAATTCCTCAAACTACTTAAGCCATTAAAAGAAGCATAAAAGAGATGATATTCTGTAATGCATTCATTAATCCATTCACCAAATATGTATTGATAACCTATGATGAGGGAGACCCTGTGTATAATTAGAAGTATTAATAACAGCTAAAACTGGCTTAGTAAACACCTCATTGGTTCTAAAGTCCATGTCCTGGTTAAAACTCTTATTCTGTACTGCTTTCTTTGTGCTGACTAACTCCAATAAGGTTTTTATTTTTGAAGAACATGAAATTCATTTTGGGTAGATGAATGGATTTTCAAAAGTTAAAATACCATTTGACATTGTTATAAAAGAAATATGGCTGAAGGTTTGTGGGAAAATAGCTGAACAGAGATCAGTTAATGATGACTAGAGGGAGAGAGAAAGGCTTAACAGATGAAGTAATATTTTAACAGTATTTTGAAAAAATGTTAGTAATTTTATGGGGAGCAAATGGCTGAAAACCTTTCTTGAAAGAGGAATACCACAGTCAAGAGAATAGGCCTGCAAATAAAAATGAAGGTTGTTGAGATTAGAACACAGGCTATATGGTATAATGGGGAGGGGAAGAATACTAATGAGATGTTTGTGGGCCAGATTGTGAGGCATATTTTGTGCATAAGAGTGGGTTTATAGAAAGAAGACTGTAGGATTAAGGATGGAATTCTAGGAGGCATCAGTGTTTGATACTGTATTATGCAAGAATCAACAAATGTAAATAAGAAATAGAATGTGGAGAGAGCTTGTCAAAGAGTAGGTACCTCCAAGTCAAAGGAATGGAGTTTGTCCAAGAATATCAACTCCAGACACTTCAAAGAGGATAAGAATTCTATGTGATTTATTGAATTTTGCAAGTAAATGGTCTTTATGAGAGATGTTTGCAAGTGCTATTTGGTTGAAAACAGACTGTAAATGGGAAAGTGAAAGGAAAGAGAGTAGAAAAAAAATGTAGATTCCTTTCTGAATCCTTGACAGTGGATTAAATGAACGAAAAACATGGTAATTTCAAGGGGAAGTGGGATGTAGGGGAAAATATTTTTATGACAAGGAAAATGTAAATATCAAGAAGATCATTCTTTTACTATTTATTAAAGACTATTGTTAAGGAACTATGAAGGATAGATGATTCAGATTTTATACTCATTTTTCCTAGAGGTGAGATTTGTAGAATATGGAAAATTTCCTAGTTTCACTTAAGTATTTATAATTCATTTGGTACTAAAATGCAAATAAATAAAAATAAATTTAGTATAAAGTGTCTGTGCTCATACAAAAATTCTCCATCTAAGACAATATTAAGCCCTCCAGACATCTTTCTAGTGGTTGAGTTTCCTCATAAGGGGAAATTTTTGGAAGCACAGATTTTAGCTTCAGATTTCAATTGGCAATGGTCATATATCTTTCATGAAAAGCCACTATGTATGATTTCATTTAAAAGCCTTTACAGGAAACAGAAATTGCTTTAAGAGGTAAGATAGTAGTTTAATTGGTACTACATTATTATTTTTTTGTAGAAGGAAAGCTTTTAATTGTGCAGAAGTTATACTTTTCTGGAAAGTCTATAAAGCATTCAGATCTATGAGGTTGACAGTTTTTTATACATAGAAATTTTATTACCTTATATTTTCAATTTAAGAAATAGATTTGTTCTTTGAAAGCCTTCGCTTTTGTCTCTTAATGGCTATTTTCACTTATTACTATGTGTGAAGAAAAAGAAAACCCCAAAGAAAAGCCTAGAAAAAAAAATGAAAATCAAATGCTTTTTTTAAGGTTTATTTGGAGAGACTTTTGACATTAATTAAAGTAGATGTATTGAACAATGTTAAAGCCAAATTTAAAAAAAAATGGATAGGTATTATTTTTAAAGCAATGCATTGTTAAACAATTTTTGCTGTGAGATACAGAAATTATTAATTTTGTGAACTCAATAGCACATTAACTATGTCTTCCTTCTTCTTAAATTTCTCCCTAGGATCAGACTTTTATTTATATTGATTTGAAGTTATTTTAAAAGCATAGACTAGCCTCCACAGGACTATCTCCCAGAAACATCCACAGCACATTTCACCCTCTAGTAGCTACCCTACTCTGGAGAAGGAAATGGCAACCCACTCCAGTATTCTTGCCTGAAAAACCCCATGGACGGAGAAGCCTAGTAGGCTACAGTACGTGGGGTCACAAAGAGTCGGACACAACTGAGTGACTTCACTTCGCTTCGCTTCACTTCAGCTACCCTACTTCTCCTATCACTACAGACACAGGTGCATATAACAACCTTGCCACATAGCCATGGGACCATTTCACACCTAAATTTCTTTGCTTACATAGCTCACACAAATGTTGCTCCTGCCTTTTTCCATTTCAATCTTCTCATCTCATTAATCTCAAGTCAAGATTACTCTTTGTATATAAATAGTAAATATTAGTTGACTTAGACTTAACTGAAGCTTTTNTAGTTGACTAGACTTAACTGAAGCTTTTTTTTAAAAGAGAAAAATTAAATATTCAGCGTTCACCAGAAAAAAAAAAAGTAATGGATATATATCATATATCACATATGTTATATATTGATGTATATGTATATTTGTATGGAGAGAGAGATATTTATTATAGGAATTGACTAATCCAGTTATGGAGGCCAAGAATCCCAGGATCTACTTACTGTCTGTAAGCTGGAGAACAGGGAAAGCTGGTACAAATAAGTCTAAATCTGAAGGCCTAAGAACCTGGGAATTGATAGGATACATCCAGTCCAAGTCCAAAGACCCAAAAATCAGGAGCATGGATGCAAGGGCAGGAGATGACGGATGTCCCAGCTCAAACAGAGAAAGCAAATGTCCCCTTCCCCTGCCTTGTTGTTCTATTCAGACCCTCCACAGGGTCACGATTAAATACTTGTGTTTAGTTTTTCTCTGTGATTTTATAATCTATTTCCTGATACTGTAATGTACCAGAGTATATCAGGGTATATATGTAGCTTACTGGTGCCTAACTTTTCCGCCTATTTCTTAATATGAACACCTAGTTTAGGAGAGCCACAGTCTGTAAGTACTAGAGTCCCAAGTGTTTGTCTCTTGGTTTCTCCCCATCTTGCCTTTTTAGATAACAAAAATGCTGTCAATCTTTTTTTTGCTACATTAAATTCATCAGGAAATTTCTATTAAACACTTACTATATCCCAGAAAACAACCTAGGCACCGAAGGTTATATCAGTGAACAAAACAGACTAAAATATTTGACTAGTGAAGCTGAAAGATGAATGATTACTGTTATTGGTGGAACTTGGGAAATATTTACTTTCTAAAAATAAGTTTCTGTGTAATTCACAATCTCTTTCAAAAGAAAAAGCCAAGCTTAAAATCATTTTTTGTCAACCAAAAAGGGAGAAACAAAAAAGTCTAACTCTCATATTACACTGCTTTTGAAGTCATATCAATTCTGGCACACACTGTTTTGAAAATAATGGTATGGCAGAATTCCAAGACATTTCTCATAATATATGTTATTGCTTCTTGCACGTAGGAGGACCAATTCTCCATGCGGTCAAAAGCAATTTAGCACTGTTAGTTTTTATGTTTTACTTCTTCATTTCAAGCAGAAGCTAAAATAACCTGTTATGAGCATGAGGATTTTCCCCAAAATATTCCTGTTTCCCTTTGTTTCTGGGTTTGTTGTTTGTTTGTCTTGGTTTGGTTAGATTTATTTGGGCATCGTTTTTCTCTCTCTCTCTTTTTTTTCTTGAGAAACATGGTTTTCCATGCAATTATCTCCTTTCTCTGATCATCTGCATGTGTGTGGTCACATATTTCATATTGTGATAGTCCATATTTTGTAGTTAGAATTGAGTTGACTTCTCATCTCTCTTTGGCCTTTGGACATGGAGCATATTTCTTTGAAACTGACTTGGGAATGCTGCCAGTTCTACTCCCTGCCCCTCTAAATGTATATGTTTCTCTCTGGCAGATTGTAAATTTCTTAAAGTAACAACTTGTATTTGAAGTATCTATTTGCTACAGCAGCTAGCA